CTTAAAGGACCAGTGTGTAAGATTTAGAGGGCTCTATAGGCAGAATCCGGCAGAAATTGAAAATAATATTTATTTGTATATAACATATCCAACGAAGGTTGAAATCAAGGGCAACTGGACTTGGTTGAAGATACTGGAAGACGTTTCGTCCCTCATCCAAAGGACTTCTTCAGTTCTGTATCTTCAACCAAGTCCAGTTGCCCTTGATTTCAACCTTCGTTGGATAACTATGACCTGGATGACTGAGAATCTTCATAGACAACCTGTATATAATATAGGGATGCTTATAGAATACTGAACAAGTACATTCACATTTCTTCCATTTAATTTGCCTTTTTTACCATTGCATACATTAAATACTCAAAATGTGCTTTTTCCTCAGTGTTTCCCATAGGATTTGGAGAGACTATGGTGGGTGGATCAGAGGCCCGAGAGGGTCCGGTGAAGTAAATTATATGTACGTTTACTTTTAATGTACACATGTAATATCTTTTATACTTTCTGTGAATATAATCCAATTAATCTCATTTCCATCCTGTATAGACACCTTATTTTGAAAACCTGACTTGTCACATGTGTATCGTGTATGTGGTTCTCGTATCGTGCAACATGAGGACTTAATAGCCTCTCTTCAGGTAAGACTCTCACACTGCAAGACTTGTCTTTGTAAAGAGAGAAACTGACCTGCCTGTCAGCTTGGACTGGTCCGTTTCAGTGGATTTACCATAAAGGCTTGAATACGTGTGCACTCCAAATTATGCAGCTAGCTTAATCACCTCAATAAACGAGTGACAGAAACACTCAAAGCAGGTCAGACCGTTTGTTGCCTTTTCTAGTCAGGCACAGATTGAGTGGATGTGCTAGGAGACAATTCAACAGAACAGTGTCTGCAAAGGCAATTTTTGCGTCTTTCTCAGACACTTTAAAATGCTTCCACGCTGCAGACATGTCAACGTAAGTGTTCTGTAAAATTTCTCTGGTATTTTGACTTATTAGGCTTAACACCGAAAGTGCTTTTTGTGCTATTTTTGGCCAATTACTAATTACGGTGGCCGAACATTTGGTACATCCCTACTATAATAATCTGAAAATAAGAATAGCTGTGCTTTTATTACCTTAGAATGAGCCCTTTATATATATACAGAGGGAGCAGGTCCTCTTCCATGGAGTCCACCATGTTGAATTGCCATGTTTCTACAGTAGCCCAGAACGGACAAACCAAACTGGCTCTAGACAGTTCTCCTACATCAGTGGTTCTCAACCTTTTTTGGGCCAACGCCCCCCTATCCAGTATCCAGGTCCCTTACAAAGATGTGTCTATTTGCCCTGAATATTGTTGATTTTTTTTTTTGTTGTTGTTACTATTGTTAATGAAAACGTATAAAAAAAAACACATTGAATGACAAACAACATATTAAATTAATTTCCCAGGTAACAAAAAAGCCATGTGAAAAGTAATTATAAATAATTAATAAGTGATTGTTCCTCCCAGAAACTGTGTGTGAAGTTTTCTTGCATGGCAATAAGTGGGGGGTAGAAGAAGAAGATTTTAAGCATTAAACACTTAATTTCCTGCATTCTGGTGAAAATTTCTGCTCTACTTTCTGCCTTTTCTGCACCAATTTATGGTGGAAATGTCTAATTATATAAAAGGGAAACACATAATCAGGTGGCAGGTGACAATTGAAAATATATAAATATAATGTTGTGAGGCTCTCTGGCATTGTTTTTTGCTTTTAAATATTTTTCTCTTGTAGATCAACTTACTTAATATCCCTGCTAAGTCAACACACATGATTAAGTCTTATCTCCTCTTTTGTGTCTTTTGTGGTGAAGTAACCTATGTGTTTGTGGCCCCTTTTCATCTCTGTGATAAATTATTAAAAAAATATTAAGTTATTGACTTGACTTTATTAGCTCATCTGTTAATAACTTATCATATCATAACTTAGTGTTTCCCACAGAATTACAGTGTAACTGTGGCGCATAGGGGGTGCGCATGCGTGCAGTTGATATTAACTACCAGCTATATACAGCGTGCTAGCCTCAAAAACCCAGCTGTATTCTAACATTAATTTAGCTCTCCTTATTAGCTAGGCTCCTTACATACTTGCTAATATTTTTTAAAGCTGTGTCTCCGACATTGACAGCATTGTGTTGGACATATTTGTGCAGCTGTGTTCATGTGGGAGAGGGAGAGAGAGGGACGAGCGAGAGGATGTGCTGCGCGAATACGCACTGCCAGCAGCTCTGCAATCAAGTACGATTTTAAATAGAAAAAAAAAAATCGAAAATCAAAATGTGGCGTTGATATTATGGTGGACTGTCACAAATAAATAAACATATGGGAAACACTGTAACTTATCTGCTCATGTTCAAAACATTCTGCACATTCAGAATCTCTCCCACTTATCTGTGGATCTCTCACATATGTTGTTGAAGCAGCTGGAGTTGCACCAGGGGTTTCCAGTTCAATAGAGTAAAGTTCAATAATAAAATCCTCTTTTCGAAAAAAAGAATGACTTTGCATTAACTTCTCCACACTTTGGTTAAATTTAGAGGCTATAGGCCATTGAATGTAATACATACAACAAATTCGTCTAAATAAATAAATAAATAAAGACACTAGGGTAATTTAGCATTTGGATGTGAAGCCTATTTTAAACACGATACTGTGGATCAAGCAGAAATCTCACCTGTTAACTTCAGCACCTCTGATAAAGTGCCGCTTACAATCCCCAACAGAGCAAGTCAGGGCTTCAGTTTTTAACGTTACATTTTTATAAACTACTGAAACTCCTGTATATGTCCGCTTTGGCACAAACTGCAACTCACAGCGCGGATAGGGTCCACGCCACTCGCTGGTGTCGCAGAGAAGTTGCTTTCAGGGTAAGTCCGACTGCGGAATATCTCTCTTGTAAATGTGTAACCACTGCGATAACAAAACGTTCAAGGTGTATTCCTCAGAGAAATAAACACTTTTCCACGGTAATATCAGGAAAGAGAGCGTCAATTTTCCAGAGTTTACACAGTAAACGCCATGTGGGTAAAATTTTACAGATGATACTCTGACTTCCTGTTCCCTGAAGGCAGCACAGAGCTGCACCACAAGTAGCTGAGGGGGAAAAATACACAGTCTCGTCCAGTCGCAGTGGACTAAACTGGCAGGTTTTAATGTTGCAGACCACAGTTTTTTTGCAAGTAGTTTAAAATTTAACTCGTTTTGTTGTGAATCTTTGGTGTAAACTTGCCTTAGAATTTCCAGCTAACAAACGCCCCCCAAAAGCAGCTCAGCGCCCCCTTTCCAAAACACTGCTTCCAGCGCCCCCCATCGTCCTTGTAACGCCCCCTTTGAGAAACACTATTCTACATGCTTGGTGAGGCAATATTCAGCTGGTTGAAATTTGCAACCTCACTGCTAGTCACTAAATTCTTCACACTAGACCTTTAAAGGGACAAACCACATGTGAACAGGAAAAACAAAACTACTACTTACCAGGTTGGGTTGTTTTGGAATTATCATTTGGAATTTAATTAGACAGTATATGATTGAAAATTTGAAAAGCACTTTGTCACCAATTATATCCGAGGGCAGATTTCTGTTTTAATTCCTAAGAATAACTTAGCATTTCATAATTGAAAGAATAGAAGAATTTGTAAGTAAATTTGATGAAAAATTAGTGATTTTAATATCTCATTAAACAACCAACAAAGCCTCTAATGACGGGCCTGGTAACAGCATTTGTAATAGACATTTAGGAGAGAAGCCAATTCTTTTGAATAGAAAAGCAGTGATCAATAGATGTTTATTGTAGAGTTCAACTTTATGAACTTTAAATTACACTCTTCTGATAGACCTTTGATGATCTGGACTCCAAGAGAGTCAAACATGGGAGACTCAAGGGGCCACTATAACCTACAAGGCAAGGTCTGTAGGTTTGTTGCCAGATGATCATTATTGACCGTTCGAGCTGTTACAATGTGTAATGATGATGTTTTATGGATTTTTATTTTGAAAAATGTTACCAACAACATTTGTCACTGAGCTGTGCCCTCTTCATTATCTGATATCTCTTGGTGGAAAGAAGTTTTTTGGTGGGTGACAGATCCACATATTTACAGGTTGTAGCAGTCTCTGAAAAGCCTCCCAGTCCAAAACAGAGGAAGCCGTCATATTGTTTTTTTAATGAGGTAAGTCAAAACCCTCTTTGCGAGGGGGTCCTGACCTCTCCTCCAGTTAGTGAGCTAGCTTGGTGAGCTAGCTTGGTGAGCTATTGTGCTTATTGCCAGTATGTTCCCAGCGAGCTAACATGGTACCAGTAAGCTTGCCAGCTATATTAGATCACCAACTATACCTTTTAGTAATCACCCTTCCAGCACCACCTAATTTGCGAAGACGTACTGATGAAAACTGCTGTGCAACTTTCCACACACCATTCTCAAAAAGTTTAGTATAAGGCTGCAAAGATGTGGAAAGTACCATTACATATATAACTTCGACTTCACAGTTGCCACTGAATGTTTTGTACGGTTAATGGACTAAAAATTATATTATAGTTAAAATATTTTGTCTCAAGGTTTAACGATTCACAAATCCCCATATTTATTTATATGCTTTCCCTTCTATCATGAGACACTTGTTTTCTGAATATAATATAAAGTGTTAATATGTTAGCATGCAAGGGAAAATCGGCAGTGACTGACCACGACTGCTGATTGTCCTCAGAGCCTTACGAAGGCTTTAATAAAAAACAAAGACAAAGAGACATTCACTTCAAAACAAAGCTTTCCACACAACAGCATGGTAGGATCATGTTTATTAGCCACAAAGTTAACTATGCATCTGCAAACTTGTAGTTCTAGATTTAACAGTGACTGTTCCCTTTGGGGACCTCATGTGTCAAAGACTTGATTTAAAGCCCAGATGGCCCTGACATTATTTCATTTCTGAAACTGTCTTTCTGTTGATTAAAATTCCATAAGATTCTAGCCATGTATCCTCAGATGTTACAGGCAGTCTGAGTGTTTTATTAAACCAGCTGTTATGTGCAGGAGCTGAGCGGTTATTTGATCCAGGCAGACTGGTTAACCTTTGTCGTCATGGTGTTTGAACAACATGAAAAAGAGCCATGCTGTGTGTAAATAAAGAACATCTGCAGGGTTGCTGTAGCGCTGGGTAATACTTACTGCACTGATGAAGGGCAGGTTTAAGATGGAGCCCAGGACAGGTATCCTTCTGATAAAGCCTACTACAACTGGGAAGAACCCCCTGGATGTGATGAGAGTGAGGGAAGTAAGAGAAAGAGAGTCCCAGTACAGATCAGTGCACAGAACAGGAAAATTCAACCACTTTTCAAGCACTTTTAAGGTATCTAAATCCAAAAGTCTGTCTATCCTCATATCTAAAATGTTACTATAAATGTAATAAAGTTTACAGAATTCTTTTATACCTACAGCAATCAATGTGTTGTCACTTTGTTTGTTTTACCAGCTGTTAATATTAACTTTGATTGTATGTTTTGATTACAGTTCAAATCTGCATCTGCATCTGCATTTCTAACAGCCATGACTATTAAAAAAAGAAACAGAGAATGAGATCCTTCACTCAGTCATGAGTGTTTGCCCACCAGAGGGCGCTCTGCAACTCCCCTATGGGAAATACTTCTGCACCACAGAACAAAACATCAGCTGACCGGAGTCTACTAGCTCTGAAATTCAGTGTTGGTCATTTGTCATGTCCATTACACGACTTAAATAATAATAAAATAGCCCTCATCACTTCTCGTCTCCTGAAAACATTCATGACCAGACTTGCACACATCAAACTGGAAGGATAATAAATAATAACTATTCAAATAATAAATTCTAAATTTAAGTAAACTAAATTAAAGTGCCTAATTTTTAGAAAAAAATTAATAAAAAGTATAGCTTGAAGTGATGAAGTGTAGTCTTAACCAATTTTATAATAAACACACAAATGAACAGCTGTAATGCCTCCTCTTCTCTTTCATTTCCTCTTACAAAGCTACCACTTTCCTACTTTCTGTTGTTCAGTGAGAAACGTGAGCTCCAGCTAGCATATTGGAGATCTATGAGATATTCTGGTTTTGAACTGCCCGTGGGAGGAATGTACATGCAAAAATCTGTACATTCTTGATTAAAAGTCATGTGAAATCTCTTTTATCTTTCGTCCCCTCAATTCGGGTGTGTTTCCAAAACGTCTCTGGTGAATCTCGCGGACTCGACTCGCAAGCATCGGTATGCACAGATTTGATTGGCTGAGCAGCGTCACATGAGACGATTGGAGCACATGCGATTGGTCTGTGAGTTTCCTGGTCCTCTAAACCAGTACAGTAAATGCTAGAAAAGCTGCGCGGGTTAAAATAGAAACGCTCCGTCACGAGGTAGTAAGTCTCAATAATAAATGGGCTGTAGGTCGGCGGTCCGGAGAGGACGGCGGCTGGGTCCGGATCCGGACCGCGGTCCGCATATTAGTGACCTTTGCTCTATGCCGTTCTGTGTCTGACTTCCTGCCTGGTTCGATCTGCTCTGTGCTGCTTGACGTGGCTAGCGGCAAAAATAGACCTTCTACCTATTCTCTGCAGAGCGTTGTGTTGCGTCACATCACGTCGTTTCTCGGACGCGCTGCGGCCGCATCTGGTGGACTCACGAGCATTGACTATAATGGCCGCGAGTAGCTCCGGCAACCGTGGTGCAGCTGTAACGTGCCGGAGTCAGTAGATTTAAGGGATTAAGCCATGCTAGCAGTCCCTAGTTGCTGTAATGTTCATGACTTTCAAAGTAATTTACAACCTCCTTATCAAGTCTCTAGCTATGTCTAAATGTAGGGGCTGGATCCTGTCAAAGATGCGCTGAAAGTACAGTATTTTGCAGATTTGCACAGTTTTCATGCTTAACTTTTACCACACAGGGCACACAGGGCAGGACTTGTCACTGCTAACCCCACTGTTGGCCTGTGGAGGGTAAAGACAACTACGAGCAATGTCCAAGACACATGTTGTCGACAGCCAAATCTGTTTGCTTACCAGGGATGAGCTTCCGTTGGAGGTTCATGCTCTAGATTTGTGCCAATTTAGCCAATCAAAACTTCTTAAAAATCAAACAAAAAATAAGAATTTCAGAGCAAATAAAACTAATTGAAGTGAAAAATACTTTCATATTAAAAGAGAAATGTATAACTTGCAAACAAACTATTGGTCTGTTATTTTTTTCATATTACATCATTTGATTTCCAGCTACCACTGCTGCTTTCTCACTGATCACACTTTGCTCTCCCTGTCAGCTTTGCGGTCATGCTGCCAGCTCTCTCAGTTGCGCTGGCTCACTTTTTGTTTGCAGTTCTGATACAAACGTCTGTTGTGGGCGGGTTTTTAGGGGTGCATCCTCATTGGCTAGTGAGTGTTTGAGTGACAGCTCAGTGCCCCACACGTTTTTTAACTCGTGTTACCTGAACAAGAGGAAAAATCCGTAGATCTCCAGCACAACCCCGATGATGGGCCAGCCAATGAGCACCACAAACACACCTCCCAGGAAGAAACTGGTGGCCTTCATCTTGTGCTTCTGGAAGAAGAAGCGGAAGGTCCTCTCCAACCCGATGACAAAGGCGAGTCCAGCAACAAAAAGGATCTACAGCGAAAAGAGGGGGAAGTCCAATATTAGAGAGGGTTCAATTACTGGTCATTTAGGAATGGATCCTATATGTTGACTTGTGATTTTATTTTGGTTTTAGTCCCTTTATCTGCTACACTTGGTGTACAGCTTCCAATCAGAGTGCAAGAAAGCACTGATTGGCGCTAGGGCTGTCACGATAACTGCAAAATTGAAATACCGTGCTATTGGTCAAGCCTAACGCAGAGGATGGCAAGCACAGCAACAACCGCAAGTTTCATACTGTACACTTCAGGGCGTGTTAAATTAATAAATCAAAAAAGAGTGCTTCAAAAGTTCCACAACCGTAACAAGCTCTGTTACGGTTTAAGGATGGATCACCATGAGCTGTACGTGACCAGACTACAAACTCTGAAGCTGTAAGTGTTGCCGTGTTTTGTGTTGTTTTACTGTTTATTTTAAAGGTTAGCTAACTTGGCGTTAGCATATTGCGCGGCTAATGTGGCTAGCACATTCGGCGATGTTGGACTAATGTTGTGATCCTGAGGGACAGTCCAGAGAAACTGTGGACAGTGAGCCTCATTTGATAAACTCACTAAGGAGTGTAGTGTGTCAGATGCCTGCAGCTGTTTTTCATGTTGCTTTCTGTGGAAATTTAGTTATAAAGTTACTACAGCGCAGTGGTTAATTGTGGACAGCCATTCTGCTCCACACCTGTGTGTGTGTGCGCGCGCGTTGTATGTAAATTGACTTGATAGACATGCCCTTAACATAGACTGTATATTAAAATGCCCTGAAGGTAATGATATAGCTACGTCTAAAAAGACACGGTCAAACTACAAAAAGTTTGCTTGGCAATGTTGTTGACTAGCACGCAGCAGCTAGCTTGCTCAGAACATAAAGCTGCTGTTAGCGGATCGCTGTGCAGTGAGGTGACAGATACAGACACTCTTACTCTGCTATATGGCACCGAATTACTTCATTGATGAAAAATGCTATAATACCACATACTGCACTGTTGAGCCCCAACATATTGCCGCGGTGGAAATTGCTTCACCGCGACAGCCCTGGTTGGCGCCAGTATAAATATTAGAACTCAGGATGAAACTTCATTCAAATATTTAGATGTTTAAATGACAATTGTGTAGCCAACTACCTGAATAATCTGAAAACAAGAGAATGTGAGAAAGTGCAAATGAAAAGAAATTACTCAAGTGTTCTTTTCTTACATACATATTATATATATACAACTTCCCACAACACAGTATGCAGATTAGTCTGTAGACCAAACAAATGAGCACATTTCTTTCTGTAATTTTTTTTAGGGCTAACCAAAAACTAATTCTATTTTACTTCATCAAATTGAGTTGGCAAAAGATTCGAGACAGATATTTCAAAACCTCAACAGACAGCCTAAAACAAAATTGTATATAATAAACAATAATAGAAAAGAAACGATAATTAACAACAGAAATGCATGTCTGAGTGATTGCTTGGTATGCACCATACAAACATTTAGGCCAATTGTGACATTTTGCTGATCACATAGTGATCATCAGGGTTATATCAGTTTGGGTTTGGAGACTTTAACAAAAAGTCTGGTGAAGTTGTTCAGGTGTTTCAGGTGCAATCAATTTTTCTTCTAGATACTACAGACTTGTTAAATACAGGACATGGCTTTGTCCTGTATGCCCTGATACATTCAAACTTAAATGAATGGGTTCAGTGTTCCCAATTAGGGTTGGGCCGACAGACGATGCCATCGTCAAAAAGGTGAGACCTGAAACTGCTCATCAGTTGTCAAAAGTCGAGGGACGATTTGGATGTTCTGAGAAGTACCTTATTCTCATGGCCGATACCGATAAAATAAGCAATAATTTCAGGTTCTGTTTTAACATGTTGTCTTCCTCTGAAACTGTGAAAAATGTCCACACTGGGTTTTGACATGCTTGGCTCACTGGTCTACATTGTGTAGCTCACCCAGGTGAAGCAGTATAACAGCAGGTTTAAGTCAATGAAAGCAATGTTACTTTATATTATCAGCTCTATTTATCAGCTATAATTGCATTATCAGAATAATACATAATATATATTTTATATTTGTAACCGTAATTTATCAGCCTGATTTATATTGTGCATCCCTATGTTGTATGATACTTGCTGTGGTTAGATTTGTTAATAATGTATTACATAAATCATCACAGATCATTTAGAACATGTAACATTAACAACTGAAAAGTTATTTTACACCTGAATTTAAACAAAAATACACATCAGTGTTGTCATCAGCTAATGCGGAAGACTGAAAGTTGAACTTGTATGTTTCTCATCAGAGATAACGTTAGCTCAGTAAAGTAGGAACACTCACATTTCCAATAGCCAAGAGGGCTTTGTCAAAGAACAGGATCATCCCGAAGAAGAGGAAAAACACGCCGAAGCCTGTTAATCCCATTCCAATCTCTGTAGGACACACACATACCACAGAAAGGATTCATTATTGATATGAGTTTGTCACTTAGCTCTTATGATAAAATGTAGAGCCAGACAGTCTTAGCCACCCTAAATTTTCTTGCATGTTATTGTCTGTTGTACTCTGAATCACACTTTGAAATCACCTAAAAAGTGAGATTTGTATTGTTATGTGTGGCCAAGTCAAACAAAACTGACAGAGGTGCTGTAGAGGGAGACAGATGATGATGTATGGAGGACTGATACTGACAAATTCAGAAATAAATACAGAAATAAATAAATGTTCAATAAATAAATAAGCATCTGATTAAATACACAAAAAAATGAAGTAAATAAATGTAGACCGTAATTCAATTATACAAGGAGACATAAATGTATATATCTATTTTAATTAGCTTCTTTACTTATTCACCTTTGTAATAATTACCTTACTTATTTAGCATCTGTTTAAATCTTCAACTTTATTTTTTAATTACTTCTTGTTTAAATGTATTTATTTATGTGTTTTAATATTTTTTGTCTGTTTTATTCTTCCGTTGCATTTTCTACCCTATTTATTTCCCCTGTGGTATTTATTTCTGCCTGTCCTTTTTACATTTCTCTATGCATTTCTGCCTCATTATGCAAATGAGGAGGTGCTGTGTCTCAAGGGGTCATCTTCTCTGCTATTGGTGGACCAGTGAGACAGGAGAGCTCCTACTCTGCCTGCAGACATCAACGATCTTGCTCCTCACACAGTCAGATGGCTTCCTTCAGTGCGCTGAGATGTTTAGCAACTCTATTTGAAGACAATACTACCAGCCATGTCTTCCTTCTTTTTCATGTGGACACTATGACCTACAGAGTTTTCATTTAGCGACTTATACAGACACAGATCTGTAGGAAAGTGAGCTGTTGTTTCTGAGAGCCTGAGCATTTATTGATTTCTGAATTTTTCAGGATCAGGCCTCCATAGATGATGTACTGTTTCACTGCTTTTCCAGGAGTTTCAAGCAAAGGCCACAATCTATTATTCATCTAGATAAAGATTTTTTAAACACAGGACACAGCTGTGCACTGAATGTCATGAATATATTCAAACTTAACTAAATGGGTTCGATGTATTTGATGTACAGTCCCACTTTAAATTCCTAATTAATACATATGAAGACAATGAAGTAAAAAAACGTCAATATTTCTAATAAAAAACACACGAATGTAACATCATGTCACCAAACACAACTAAAAGTAAAGGTTAACCCTTTGCTATTTGTTTATGGCATGACAAGAAATAAAGCTCCCTAGCATTGAATGCTATTTGCTAGCTGGCCAACTGCTGGAGCTCAGATGGAGCCGGTTGGATAGATAAGGCAGCAACACACAGACATGGTCAGACTCTTACTTTGGGAGTCCGTTAACGAAATCATCTTGCCGCCGGATAAACGGGTGAAGATAGAATAAAAATAGAATAAATATTGTAGTAACTATACAAGTACTCTTCTAAGAATAATTTGGGTATCAGTTCCCACTGCAGCAACAGCCACGTCTTCCGGAAACACTCCTTCTCCCGATGTCTTCTTCCGGAGCAATGCCGTGTTGCATTCAACGTGGCAACTTTACCAACATCGTTCCAAATTGCGAAGTGGGATGAGCAATTTCGGAAGCCCCCGGTTCGGAAGTATTATTTTCAAATAATTTCCCCCATAGATACTTTCAAAATCTAGATAGATAGATTTTTTTGGTCAATTTTCAATTTTTCTTTACCTTTCTTATATTTTTCTACCTTCTATGTTATTTTTAAGCACCAAAATACCAAAGAAAATTCCTTGGATAAACCTTGCCTAACGTTACTTGGTAATAAAGCTGATTCTGAAGAATATAGGCATAATCGATTATCAATCTACTGTGCTGGTATATCATACACCTACTGGGTTGCATATGTCAAGGATATTTACAAAAAATTTAAATATTTCAACTCCTCGAAGGGCAATTTCATTTTTCACTGAACGTGTTTCTTGAATGCATCACGCGTAGGCTTTAGAGATATTGTTGCCCTGTGTTTACTCAGGCAGTGCTGATGTGGACCTGAGATAACAGGATATTTTTACTTTAAGCCAGGCTTCCCAGGTTCTGTATTAAACATAATACTACATGCGCTTTATTTATATTTAGTTATTTAATACATTAAAAACGAGACATGTTGATGATGGTAAAGTGTGTCTATCATACAGGCAGGAGGCGGAAGTTAGTTGTAGTAGCCGGCAGGCTGCAAAAAAGCAGTGAAATCATTCATTTCATTTTCACAAATAAAATAAAGGTTTTTCAAATCTAACAAAGTGTTTCACACAGCGTTAAGGCTTTGCCTAAAATGCAGCTTTCGCAACAATAACAGGAGCAAAAAAAACGGAGAATCAGTCGCTCAGCAATGTACGTTAAGTTAACTTTCACTTAAGTTCCCCTTAACTTTCCCCTTAACTACCGAATCGGAAGCTAACTTCAGCGTCGTGCCTGCTATATATATCTGTTGGCGCAGTTTTAGTGACGTTAGCGACGTTAGCAACCGTGAAGTGGATTCAGCAACAAGAAAGGGACTGGACAGAGTGGCTGAATGGTTCGTAATTTGTATTTGATACTTTTTAAAAGTCTTGTCATTTTAGCTAATTTAACCCTAAACAAAGTTGGGAGTTTTTTCATGTAGGGAAGCGTAGCTTACCTAGAAGATGGTAACGTTCCGTTATTGACATGAGCGAGAAACCGTTTAAACATGATGCTCCAACATCCTGGTGTGGTTAAAGTATCCATTACCAAGCTAACAGCTAGCAGTAACCTGCTGCACGGTCCGTGTACGTTCTGATGGTTTGTTTTTCGTTTGTCGTTTCAAACCAAAAACAAAGAACAAAAAAAAAAGAGCCTTTGAAAGCATGTATGTGCTATATATGTTGAATAAATTATGTATGGAAAGACTTGTATGGATTCTCTTCACTTGCATGACACAATGGGAGTGTTGTATTTTATACACACTGGGATGTGTATGGAGAAGAAAGATTCACACAGTATATAGCACACTGGTAAATCATTCTTTTGGCCAGATGGCCTACATAAGGACATTTCTGATGTGAGTTTGTTGTCAGAGCTGCTGAGAAGCTGACAGCAGTGTTAGAAGCAGGTTAGACCAGAAGGGCATGCAGGTTTAACTCTGGGCTGAGGGTGAATGATGAACATGATAACTAGGCTGCAAATAAAACATAAATATCAAAAACCAAATGAAATGAACAACAATAAATACATCTGTATCAGGAATTTGGACTCAAAACATTTAATAAAGACACAAACCAGGCCTTCATTTAAATCCTGCCACCTGCTGGTAGAAAGGGGAAACAGCGGAAACCACATTAAATATGAATTTAATATTAAAAATATAGCGCTGACAGTAACAACTCTGCACACACAATCATTTCTTAGGTTAAATATATTAGCCTACCAACTGTATTGCACCAAACAATGCGCTTAAAAAATGTGACTCTTGCTGTTTGAATAAATGTGCAATATTATAGTGCATGTAATAACTAACGTATTTCTCTCGGTCCAGGTTTATTTATTTATTTTCATCTAACATCACCCTGGTATAACGTTAGTGCTGCATAATGTTACAGAATGACCCTTCTACATGCTTGGCTTTTATTTTAAGATATGTACTCTTACTTCCGGGTCACCTGGCCCACCTGTCTTTCTTTACTAAACGTCCATCTCAAAACGGAGAAATGAAAATAGGAATTTCAAAAAAACAAAATCGGCCAATTGTTTGAATTTGGAGTAGTAATTTTTCGATTCAGAAACCAAAAACGGGAGAACGGCTCTTTTCCCCCCGTTTTTTCGAAACAAAAAAAGAACGTACACGGACCCTCCACCTTGTGTGATTAAACAGGTGCAGCGATGTCGAGCCTAACCTTACGTTAAGATATAGTAATAACTGTGGCCAGTTATGTGTAAATGGAACAAAATGTGACAGTTAACGTTGCTTTGTAACCATAGTTGAGATTGGCTAACGTCAAAAGGTGGCCCAGTAACGTTAATTTATCTTTGTTCTGTTGACACTGCGCCTGTAACGTTATAGGTTAACGTTAAGTGGCAGTGGTTGAAAATTTAGAATGAATGTCTCACTGGATAATAATTTTGCTAATTACGTTAATGGAACAGTATTTCAATTTAATGAAGTGGCGCCATATAAAAAATTTAATTGGCTTATATCCAAATCAAATTAATGAATGTAAAACCCTAAACAAATTGTAGAAGTCAGGTATTGACTCACATAAACAAGCAGGAACTAAACTAGATGAGCACCAAAAATTAAAGTGCAGTCACTTGACTGTGGTAGAGTCTCAAGTAGAATTAGCCCCAGTTCATTTTAACAGTCTGGGAACCAGTCAGTCATGTGAAATATGAACTAAAGATTAAGGTGAATTAAGGTTACCCTACTTCAATGCATTTCTTGAACATGGTTTTCTGTCTAACAGTGACTCATATCAACATCTCTGACAGTCGGAAGGTTGGCTCCTTTCAGAGTAAATCACACTGAGAAAAATGGCTGGTGGGGACAGAACTAATGGTAGGTCTGTTCTTAAGTCATTCAGTCTATTTTGCATATGTTTTATAAACTGTAAAATTAGCCAAACCTCATTAAACACTAAAGAACGCAATAGTGGTAAGATAAAAACAGTCATAGGGTCCTCTGTGGTAATCCTGAAGTTGTTTTTGTATAAGAGAGAGGAGATTGATTTCATGGGGCCCGGACCCTCAGCTCCAAGGGGACACTGGGAGGTACAAAGAGAAGGTGTAAGTGGGGTGACCAGACGACCCAAATTACAAGCAGTTGTCCTGACTCCTGTAATTTTTGTCCCGAAAATCAGACTAAACATGAGTTTTGATTGTAGCCTGATTAAACATTAAATACTGATCATTGTGTGGTTCTCAGGCTCTAACAGGGACTGCAGGTTTGTACATTGTGTCATCATCGTTGTTACAGCCAAAAAGTAACACGTGTGTTCTTTCCCCCTTTTCATTTAGTAATGTAGATGAAGATAGTGGAAGTTACAGTGGCGAGAACATTGGGAGTGTAGCTGCATGGGGCCACAGAGGAGAGGTCTGACACGGGCGTTACGCAGACAGATGAGACAGGCACTGCACTGATGAAATCAATAAAATTAAATAAATTATATGTAACAGATTATTATTTACCCACTGTTATATGCCCATAGTCGTTTTGTTTTTTCCTAGTGACAGGTGACTTCATGAACAAACAAAAATAATTAATTTTAGTGTTGAGTTTTGATTTTCATGTGTTAGGGTTTTACAGTTTGTTGACACTGAATGTACTTGTAGCCAACCAACCCCCACCCCCTGCAAAACTCTGTCCTGAATATGACCTATTCCTATCTGGTCTCCCTAAGAGTGAGGTACCTGCGCAGGTTTGACACCTTGAAGTCTATCTGGTTAACTCCACTGAGAGAACCTGATGCACATATTACTCTATAAGCATCTTGTTTACCCCTTTGTTCTAATTTTACAGTAAAATAGGCTCTGTTTCACATTGCTTGCTTGGAATCTTTGCTAACGGTATTTGTGTTGTGTTTGTTCCTGTTCAGATGTACAGGCAGAGCTGGACTCGGTGGAGGCAGACCTAGAGTTGGTAGAGTTGCAGATCACAGAGCTCCTGCAGAAGCAGGCCGAGCTGACTTCTCGTAAGAATGCACTGCTGCAGCAGCTGGAGGAAGCCTGTGATGCTGCACAGCCATCATCCTCTTCATCTGTTGCTGATCCAGTAATGACCTATGAGCAGGAGATACAGCTCTTGACAGCACAGGTAGCTTACACACATGGCTATAAAATTAGAGTCAATAGATTTGTGTGTTGACCTGTGTTAATCTCTTGATGTTTGGTAGATTTTCCATGGTCCAGAGAAGTGGAGCAGCACTTGAAAGACTCGTTCCATCTCTCAAAGTTCAGACCACTGCAGCTGAGGGCCATCAACCTGACCCTGTCTGGCAGAGATCTTTTCCTGGTGATGCCCACAGGAAGAGGAAAAAGCCTCTGCTACCAGCTGCCTGCAGTCTGCTCTAAGGGTACACTGGAACACACAAAGTATTGGTTCTAAACCCCTGCCCTCACACTGCTTGTGTATACAGTTTCTGAGAGTACATACATTTAGATATACAATTACTCAGAGCTATTGGCGCATACTGCATCAATAGAGTAAATACCTAGAGAAAGAAGTAAAAGTTAATTGAATGCAATTAATACAAGATCATTTTAAAGCGAAAGAAGAAGAGCACAGGAAGTGCATGTTAGAGGTCAGAGGTTTTATAAGAGGAAGTGAGATGGGTTTTCAAGAGCTTCTTAAAGTTAGAGAGGGACGCCCCTGCTGATGGCATGTGGTAGCTTGTTCCACCATTGTTGGGTCACAGAAGAGAACAGCTGGGACTGAGCATACATGAATATCAACTCTGCAGCCCTTCCATAATCTGTGTGTTTGTGTGTCAGGTTTAACATTGGTTGTCACTCCCCTGGTGTCCCTGATGGAGGACCAGATCATGTACCTGAAGTCCATGGACGTGTCAGCAGTCATGCTGAATAGGTCCAGTAGCAAGGTAACGACTGGCAGCCATATTCTGCTTGTTTGTTTCACATCAGCTCAGCTTTCAGTCTGTTTATATCTTCTTATGCAGCACAGTGACAAAACTGCATGAACCTCATATTCCACAGAATGTACTCATAAGAATGTTGACATAAAAGACCATTTAGATCAATAGGTTTCACTGTTTTGGAAAGACTTTAGATTTTTACAAAATATATATATTTTTTTATAAATTTGGAAATAACCCTGTAGTCATCATTCTGACCAGTATACCTCGCATACCTACAGTTTATACTCTGTAGCAATATATTGTAAAACAAAGTACTTTCACAGTTACTGTTTTTCTAGTTCAAATTATATACAGTTGCATCTCATAAAACTATATTATATAAAGACATTAAAACGGGACCATATGTTGAAAGTTTTCACACCCTTTTTGTTGTTGGATTTAGAAATCAAATTGCTCTGATAATGCTAATCCAACAAATCTTTGTAGTAGTGTGAATGTTGATTCCACATTCTGACTTAAGCGCGCACATACACATAAGTCGAAAAAAACCCAAAATGGGACCATCCGAGGAGCACGTGAATGTAAAGTGAGCCATTAGTTGCCATTTCTAACCCTCTCCACTAGAAGCCCAAGTTGCTTTGATAGTAGCCTTCAGCTCGTCTGTATTGTTGGGTCTGGTGTCTTTCTTTTTCCTCTTGACAATCCCCCATAGATTAACTATGAGGTTCAGGTCAGGCGAGTTGGCTGGCCAATCAAACACCATGGTCAGCAAACCAGTTACTGGTAGTTTTGGCACTGTGGGCAGGTGCCAAGTCCCCTAACATAACACAAATTAATGCAGTCATGTTGCTTCTGCACTGAAGTCTTGTCTCCAACTTGTGCAGATTTTACTTTGCTTAAAAACACAGATACATAGTGTGAGTGTAAAATAACAAAAGGAAAGAAAAATGCCTGAGAGGATTCAAAATAATTTTTCTACATTTACATATTTAATATGAAGTGTGGGGACAGTCTGATCTTATATTATAGGCATTGTTGTATTAATAATACAGGCTATTGTGCATGTTTATGTTGTTTGCATGTGTCTTGTGCTGTCTTATTTACAGCAGTCTATTTGTGTGTAAATCACTTGGTTTTCTCTTTTTGCTGTTCTGGCTTATTACCGATAGGTTCATTTTTACCAAAAAAAAGTCATTTGTTTTTGTTTGTCAGAACAGGTTTGGGAAAATAAATGTCTAAACTGATTTACATTTGTACAGCTCATAATCATGTTTTGGTCTTTCATTGAAAAAAGAAATGAAAATGTATTGAAAAAAAATTTAGGAGCACGTCAAGACAGTCATGACTGGAATGACTGATCCCAAGGCCCCTTTCAAGCTGTTGTACGTGACTCCAGAGAAGATCGCCAAAAGTAAGCTGCTCATGTCTCGTCTGGAGAGAGCCTACAAAGCAAACCTGCTGAGTCGTATCGCTGTGGACGAGGTGCACTGCTGCAGCCAGTGGGGACATGACTTCAGACCAGGTGAGAGGCCCCCTTCACTAGGATGGAGGAGTGTGGAAGTATAGTTCTTTCAATACAACCTCCCTTGAGATCAAAGTTTATCTTCAAAGTTGAGAAAAGCATGTGCATGCTTGTGTTTGTGTGTGTCTGTATGCAGATTATAAACTGCTGGGCATCCTGAAGAGGCAGTTCCCTGAAGTCCCACTGCTCGGGCTCACAGCCACGGCAACCAGTAGCGTCCTCAAGGACTGTGAGAAGATCCTGTGCGTGCCACAGGCAGTCACACTGACTGCATCCTTTAACCGACCTAATCTCTACTACGAGGTGGTAACCAGGGCGGTACACACACACACACGCGCACACACCGACCGAATGTTTCTCTGTCAAGCACATGCTCCCACCTGCTCTGCACAACGTTTCAAAGTCACATTACAAAACATGAAAGATCATACTGATGTTTAGCCTATTACATAAAAACATACAGTCATCTATAAGTACTACCTCTGTGGATACTACATGTCAGACGTAATACATTTAATAAGTCAGTCTTGCATCTCGATTTTAAAATGTTCGTGACCCTAACAGTCTGCTTCTTTCTCAGGTTCGTTGTAAAGATTCTGACAATAATGCATCAATATGCGACATTGCCTCTCTGATCAAGAACAGATACAAGGACCAGTCAGGTACTGCAGCAAACCAGACTGACAGGACTAAAGACATTAGGGCTAATGTACTTAGATCTACAAAGATAAGATGCAATATACTTTATTGTCCCCTAAGGGAAATTTGTTTTTGGTCTGTTCTGCAGCTTTACAAAGACAACACAAAATACAGAAATAAACTTCTCTCAGCACATACACTCATTCAACACAACACATGCTCTCATATTCATTAGACCGGTATATAGTCAGCACATTAACTCCTTCTTCCAATGACAGTTTTTGATTGAACAACCCTGTCGGCTGCATTCACCGCAAATGTAGCGCAACCTTTGCACAATGAGATATGGCACACCCCCAATAGCCTACATATTGCACAAATGACACATTTCACATAACCTATGCAATATACAATGACATATTGAACAATTCAACAGCCCATGTGTTACACCACTAACATATTGCATAACCCCAATAGCCTACTTATTGCACAATGACAGAGCACAACCCAGCTAGCCTACATCTTAGTGTTGATAAGCTTAATGGACATAGGCACAAATGAGTGTTTATCGGTTTAACCTGCATTTAGGAACCCTGAATCTTCTACCAGAGGGTAAAAGCTGAAATTCTGGGTGAAGTATGTGGGTTGGATCGGAAACTAATTTTTTTGCCAGTCTGATAACCGATTGCTTATTAATTGTCTGAAGGGGCAGATGGTTTTTGACCCCCATAATCTTCATAGCTGTCTGTATCTGACGGGAGAGCTGTGATTTGGACTGTACTATCAGGTGACCATACCAGGCTGTGATACCGTATCTTAGAATACTCTCTAGTATTGCATGATAAAACGACATATATTTCAGTTCGACTCCATACACTCTAAGTCTTTGTAAAAAATGCATCCTCTGCTGAAGTCTGGAGCAGAGAGTATTCACGTGGTCCCTCCAGCCAAGTGCATTATTGATATGTACACCAAGGTACTTGTAAGAGTTAACCTGAGTAATGGGTAAGTTGTTGATCACTACAGGCCTGGTGTCGCCTTTGGATCAAACACCATCTCCTCAGTCTTGGTCACATTTAGCACAAGATAGTTGTCGTCACACCAATGGACAAATTCCTCAATTTCCAAATGATAGGCTGCTGGGCTTCTATCTTTGTGCATAAGGCCGAGGATTGCTGTATCATCTGAGAATTTGATAATATAATTGTCAGCGTGGAGTCTAGTGCAGTCTTTAGTATACAGTGTAAAGAGGACTGGAGAGCTGACAGCCCCGAGGGGCACCAGTGCTGATTGGCCTGGGCTCCGTGAGAGCAGTATTCACTCTGACCTGTTGAGTACGGTTTGTTAAAAAAAAAACTAAAATACCAGTTGAGAATAAAAGGGTTCACATTCATGTGTTTCTGGATGAGCATGTGAGGCTGCAGAGTGTTAAAAGCTGAACTAAAATCAACAAACAAAATGCGTGTAGGCCTTGGGGTCCTCAAGGTGTTTACTGATCAGATGTGAGATGCTGTTAATAGCGTCATCTGTGCCACGCCCCTGCCTAAAGGCAAACTGAAAAGAATCTAAAAACCCTCCAACCTCTTGCTTAAGAAATGACACCATTGTCATGAAATGATAATGGTGTCATTTCTTAAGCAAGAGGCCTGAAATCATTATTCACCTTTGGGCAAGGTTTTTAAGGTACTGGTGGAATTACTGAATTCTTCCACAAGGTGGGGATGGTTTGTTAGTCTACTGATTTTTTGGAAGATGGGGCACCATGCAGGGGTTAGCTCCTCTGCATATGTCTTTAGCAGGAATGCAGATATTCCATCTGGCCCAGTGGCCTTCTTAGTACACAAGTCTTTAAAAAGCAATCTGACCTCCTGAGGTTCTATCACCAGTCTTGTGTCCTGTTCTGTGACAGAAATTGTCTCTAAAACATTCTTCCATTCAGAGGAGAAGACCCAAGATTCAAATCTCAAAGCTTTTTGCAGGTCATCAGAGGTACTGATGCATTTTTGAGCTGGTGTCATAATAGTAATTACCTTCATGGTGTCCCATAGTTTATTTTTTTTAGTTATTTTCTGTAAAACTCTGTTCAATTAATTCTTTGTCTCCACCTGGCTTCCCTGAGCAAGTTATTAAGTTCTGTTTGCACAATTATCAGTTGGGCTCTGTCCTGGTTCATAAATGCCAGTTTCTTGCTGTTGATACAGTCTTAGTTAACCACCTTAGTTATGTATGGTTTGTTGTTAGGATATACAGTTATTTCTTTCTGAGGTTAAAAATTGTCCACACAGAATTTTATGTAATCCGTAACAGTCTCTGCCACTTCCAGTCCAGACCTTTACAGTCTTGGTGTATGGTTTTCTGCTCATGAGAACAGTTCTGTAAGTGGGGATGAGATGGACAACGTTATGGTCCCAGTTTGACAGTGGGGGTTTAGCCCAGCTCATGTGGCATTTTTCATATTACAATAGTACTTATCAAGGATTCTGTCCTCTCTTGTGCCATATTTAACGTACTGTTGAAAACCTGGTAGTGACAGTTCCAGTTTACAGTCAATAAAATCCCTAAAATAAAAATCCGGGCCTCTGGAGTGCTTTTTAGATATGTCTGAATACATTATTTAACTGCATATTCACATACAGAGCAGTCCTACTCCATAATTCCTGTGTGTGTGTGTGTGTGTGCGCGCGCCACAGGGATTGTGTACGTGTTTTCCCAGAAGGATGCAGAGTCCGTATCATCTGAACTTCAGAAGAGAGACATCCTGGCCTATCCGTACCATGCTAACATGGACCCTGATGAGAAGTCCCGCATTCACCGCAAATGGACCTCCAACAAAATTCAGGTATTTGGGTGTGACACATCTAATGGTATTTTTTTGGGAGGTGTCTCTAGAAGCATTGGGCCAAGATTTTTTTCTTTGGTTTATGGTGAACAATCACAATAAATTAAGATGTTCATCCTCTGATCCTACTGAATAGTTCAGAAGTCAAGCATACTATGTTTGGTCACATTTCATTATGACCAAAATCGGACTTTGACATTTGATTTACCAAATAAAAAGTATAAGCAACATAAAAACCCACAAACAAGCTTGGTTTTGTCTGACCAGCAGTCCTAAACTCAAAGAGATTCTGCTTACAGTGATGACAAAAAGAGAAAAGTAGCAAATCTTTACATTGGAGAAGCTGGAACCAGATATTATTTGGCATTTATGCTTTATTAAATCAATGAACCGATTAATTGGATAGTGTGCAAAACAACTTTAAAAAATCTCATTTTTTAACATGTTAGAGTATGTGATTGTGTTGTGCTCCCAGGTGGTGGTGGCCACCGTGGCGTTTGGCATGGGCATCGACAAGCCTGATGTCAGGTTTGTCATCCACCACACCATCAGCAAGTCTATCGAGAACTACTATCAAGAGAGTGGACGTGCAGGTAGACACTTAGTAATCAGGTCAGAGCACTAGTTTATACAGCCTTTGTATTTTTGCAGACAAACCTAATTAAATGCCTCTGTGTGTATCCAGGTAGAGACGACCTTCCAGCAGACTGCATCGTATACTTTGGCTTCTCTGATATCTTCAGGATCAGCACCATGGTGGTGATGGAGAATGTTGGTCAGCAGAAGCTGCTGCAGATGGTCGACTACTGCCAGAATGTTGACAGGTAGCGCACACACACTCTCAATTTCTCCTGTGGTTATGGCTTATAGCTGGATCCCACACTGCAAGTCAGCTGACCATTGTGACTGTACATTCACCTAAAGGATTATTAGGAATACCTGTTCAATTTCTCATTAATGCAATTATCTAATCAACCAATCACATGGCAGTTGCTTCAATGCATTTAGGGGTGTGGTCCTGGTCAAGACAATCTCCCGAACTCCAAACTGAATGTCAGAATGGGAAAGAAAGGTGATTTAAGCAATTTTGAGCGTGGCATGGTTGTTGGTGCCAGACGGGCCGGTCTGAGTATTTCACAATCTGCTCAGTTACTGGGATTTTCACGCACAACCATTTCTAGGGTTTACAAAGAATGGTGTGAAGAGGGAAAAACATCCAGTATGCGGCAGTCCTGTGGGCGAAAATGCCTTGTTGATGCTAGAGGTCAGAGGAGAATGGGCCGACTGATTCAAGCTGATAGAAGAGCAACTTTGACTGAAATAACCACTCGTTACAACCGAGGTATGCAGCAAAGCAGTTGTGAAGCCACAACACGCACAACCTTGAGGCGGATGGGCTACAACAGCAGAAGACCCCACCGGGTACCACTCATCTCCACTACAAATAAAGAGCTCACCAAAATTGGACAGTTGAAGACTGGAAAAATGTTGCCTGGTCTGATGAGTCTCGATTTCTGTTGAGACATTCAGATGGTAGAGTCAGAATTTGGCGTAAACAGAATGAGAACATGGATCCATCATGCCTTGTTACCACTGTGCAGGCTGGTGGTGGTGGTGTAATGGTGTGGGGGATGTTTTCTTGGCACACTTTAGGCCCCTTAGTGCCAATTGGGCATGGTTTAAATGCCACGGCCTACCTGAGCATTGTTTCTGACCATGTCCATCCCTTTATGGCCACCATATACCCATCCTCTGATGGCTACTTCCAGCAGGATAACGCACCATGTCACAAAGCTCGAATCATTTCAAATTGGTTTCTTGAACATGACAATGAGTTCACTGTACTAAAATGGCCCCCACAGTCACCAGATCTCAACCCAATAGAGCATCTTTGGGATGTGGTGGAACGAGAGCTTTGTGCCCTGGATGTGCATCCCACAAATCTCCATCAACTGCAAGATGCTATCCATCAATATGGGTCAACATTTCTAAAGAATGCTTTCAGCACCTTGTTGAATCAATGCCACGTAGAATTAAGGCAGTTCTGAAGGTGAAAGGGGGTCAAACACAGTATTAGTATGGTGTTCCTAATAATCCTTTAGGTGAGTGTATATGAACACTAGGTTTAATGGGTAGCAGCTGAAGTGTGTTTTATTTTCAACAGTTAGGATTAGTACAGCTTGGTAGTGTTTTGATTTTTTTTTCTTTCAGCTATCGCTGCTGCAATGAGTTGGTGGGGATCTGTTTGGTTAGGAAGGTGGGTTCTTTTGTTGTTGTTATCTGTTACCTGTGGCCCATACTACGAAGGCAGTTTAACCTAGTCAGATTTAACTTGGGGTAACCAAGCAAACTCCGGATATGAGGAGTATAAAGAAACGTTAATGGCAAAATCTTACACAGTGGTGCCCAACAAATCCTGGTTAAGCTTGTTGGCAGTGCATTGAGTAAATCTGCAATTATCATTACATTATTATGTATCCATGTATCAGTGCGTGACATTGGGTATCATGTTTGCTGTGTAAAGGTGTCGGCGCTCTCTTATGGCTGTTCATTTTGATGAAGTGTGGGACCATGAAGGATGCAACCAGATGTGTGATACTTGTCGCCATGCAAAAGGTTTGTGTGTGTGAGAGAGAGAGAGAGAGATATGTTTGAATAAAATTCAGTTACATTTGTGAGCTATCTACTCTATTATACTATTGGTGATCATCTGACCTCAACCCCTCCAACCCCCAGATTACACCACTGTGGAAATTACGCAACATGCTAGGCAGGTGGTGCAGATCGTGGAGCTAGCAGCATCTATGGATGAGAAGCTGACTCCTCTGAAGCTGGTGGATGCTTGGATGGGAAAAGGCCCAGCCAAGCACAGGAAGATGATCCAGACCACCACACTGTCTCGGCTGCAGGCTGAAGCTGTGATTGTGTTTCTGCTGCTGCAGAGATACCTGAGGTGACACCTCATGTTCTGTTGTTAATTTATAATAATAATGGGGGCGTCAGATTATTTGCTGAATATCAAAGATATTATATAAATATTAATACAATTATCAATATTAATAATCTATGATAAAAAGGAGACCTCATGGATGGTTCATAGACCACAGGTTCAAAATGCGGTACAAGACTGAAATTTGAGATCCAAAATGGCAGAGGTCCTCTTCCTATTTTAATCCCCAAAATGGCGTCCGGCACAAATGAAGCTCCCTGTGGGTCACAGGTCAGGCTAGCTACAGATTAGGGCAGGGCGATATGGACTAAAAATCATCTTGATATTTTTACATCCACACCAGAGTTTTAACTGCGTATCAGAAATGATCTCCGTCTATATTAAGACAACTGTAAATGCACATCAAGTGGCTATTCATGTACACTGGGCATCTGTGTACGGTGTAAACAGGAAACGGATTGCCTACGCAGTTCCAGAAGATGCGGGAAAAGAAGAATGTTGCTAACTACAGACAATCGAAGAATAGAATAATATTTTTTTTGCATGCACTGAAAATGAGGTGCAACTGTTACTGAAAGTAACATGGGAGTACAAAGTGACTGTAGCGGCAGAAAACAGACTGGGACTCGTCGCAAAGTAAATACGGCAACATGCACAGTACAAGTGTATAAGTGTTATAGGACAGAATATTTTAATAAAAATACCAAAACAAAAACGCTGTCGGTAGCAAAGTTCTGTTTTAAAACAATACCGTAGTGGGTGGCAGGGTTGCGCCGTGAAAGAGAGGAGCAAATGCTGGCAGGACTTACTTAATGCAACTCAAACTCTGTGTATAAACAGCATTGTCTAATTTCAGTGTTTCCCCTAGGATTTTTGTCAGGGGGTGTGGTAAACCCCCCGAAACCAGTGTCGCGGAGCAGCCATCTAACAAATACATGGTGTCGTTATTGCCACAACGCACTAATTTTTGCCTGTTAATGTTCGTCACCTTCTCTGTTCCTCTTCTTCTTCTACGCTACATTCACATATTGGACGATGAATCTTCATTTTGATGATATACATCCAAATTTTTCCGAGTATTGTGTTTTTCAATGTAAGCACCTTTTTTGCCATTAGAAAGTGTGTAATCATGTGGTGGTGAATAAAATTTCAAATTCAATAAGAAAATATTAAAAATTGTTTCATGAAAATACTATAAATTCAAATTAGCCCATATAAGTCAGATATGCCAAACTACCTCAGCACATACAGTACACAGTACTTAACAAAACCAGGGAAAATCAGGTGGATACGTCACACTTTCACGGAGTTACAAAAAATAGCTGTTTTTTTTTTTTTTTTTTTTTTTGAATGATGAGTTGTGTGTATTGTTTCATGTGACATGGTCATGATCACATGAAAGATTAGTTAGTACTTTAACACTTCCTGAAGTTTTAAATGTAAAAGTTTTACAATTTAGAAGCTAATGGCTCACAGCCAAATAATAGGGACTTCACAGTAGACCAGGAAAAAGGGCAGCCAATAGCTAATCCCAATGCACATTAACTGTTGGACATTCTAGTTAGCTAAGTTATATTTATTTTTTTTTAAGAAAAAAGGACATAATGAGTTTGCAATTAGGTGTTTGCAGAAGGGCAGTGTCAATCTTTCTAAATAAAAACAAGAATAACAAACTATTTAAATGTACACTGCTCAAAAAAATAAAGGGAACAGTAAAATAACACACCCTAGATATGAATGAATGAAATAATCTCATTAAATACTTCTTTCTTTACTTAGTTGAATGTGCTGACAACAAAATCGCACAAAAATTATCAATGAAAATCAAATTTATCAACCCATGGAGGTCTGGATTTGGAGTCACACTCAAAATCAAAGTGGAAAACCACACTACAGGCTGATCCAACTTTGATGTAATGTCCTTAAAACAAGTCAAAATGAGGCTCAGTAGTGTAGTGTGGCCTCCACGTGCCTGTATGACCTCCCTACAACGCCTGGGCATGCTCCTGATGAGGTGGCGGATGGTCTCCTGAGGGATCTCCTCCCAGACCTGGACTAAAGCATCCGCCAACTCCTGGACAGTCTGTGGTACAACGTGGCGTTGGTGGATGCAGCGAGACATGATGTCCCAGATGTGCTCAATTGGATTCAGGTCTGGGGAACGGGCGGGCCGGTCCATAGCATCAATGCCTTCCTCTTACAGGAACTGCTGACACACTCCAGCCACATGAGGTCTAGCATTGTCTTGCATTAGGAGGAACCCAGGGCCAAACGCACCAGCATATGGTCTCACAAGGGGTCTGAGGATCTCATCTCGGTCAGGCTACCTCTGGTGAGCACATGGAGGGCTGTGAGGCCCCCCCAAAGAAATGCCACCCCACACCATTACTGACCCACTGCCAAACCGGTCATGCTGGAGGATGTTGCAGGCAGCAGAACGTTCTCCACGGCGTCTCCAGACTCTGTCACGTCTGTCACATGTGCTCAGTGTGAACCTGCTTTCATCTGTGAAGAGCACAGGACGCCAGTGGTGAATTTGCCAATCTTGGTGTTCTCTGGCAAATGCCAAACGTCCTGCACGGTTTCCTACGTGTCCCCCACCTGTGGACTTTGGGCCCTCATACCACTCTCATGGAGTCTGTTTCTGACCGTTTGAGCAGACACATGCACATTTGTGACCTGCTGGAGGTCATTTCGGAGGTAGCGGTCCTGCTGCTGGGTTGTTGCCCTCCTACGTCCTCCTCCACGTCTCCTGATGTACTGGCCTGTCTCCCGGTAGCGCTTCCATGCTCTGGACACTACGCTGACAGACACAGCAAACCTTCTTGCCACAGCTCGCATTGATGTGCCATCCTGGATGAGCTGCACTACCTGAGCCACTTGTGTGGGTTGTAAACTCCGTCTCATGCTACCACTAGAGTGAAAGCACCGCCAGCATTCAAAAGTGACCAAAACATCAGCCAGGAAGCATAGGAACTGAGAAGTGGTCTGTGGTCACCACCTGCAGAACCACTCCTTTATTGGGGGTGTCTTGCTAATTGCCTATAATTTCCACCTGTTGTCTATTCCATTTGCACAACAGCATGTGAAATTGATGTCAATCAGTGTTGCTTCCTAAGTGGACAGTTTGATTTCACAGGAGTGTGATTGACTTGGAGTTACAATGTTCCCTTTTATTTTTTTCAGCAGTGTATATCGTTGTTCTTCTGTCCCACCCATGTTTCATCCGCCCCGCACGGGACGTGGGACGAATGAAACAATGCGCACCTTTCGTTCAAAGTGAAATTATACTGAAGTCGTTTCATATTTTAAGATAACACCTGGTATTGATAGAACACACACGTGAGTTGTTGATGACAACAACAAATGATTTCTGTTATATTTTAAAATGACGTATATCTGAAAAGTGTTTCAGTTGTCCTGGATCCCCCCTACTGCAACAGCATGATGTTAATACAGGCTGTTATAATACTATTTGATAGGGGACAATTCACAATACGTTCTTTCTGAATTGATCAAATAGGCTTGACAGCCTCCATATACTGCTGAACACAGGATATAAGTGGGTCTGACGACGCTACTCTCACGTGGGCAGCATGCATCCTTGTTTAAAAGCCTGACCAACCGTATGTTTTAAAATTTTATGGATAGTCTGACTCTGCCCACACAGCCATGAAATCTACAACGAGCTAGCTGGGCAAGCGTCTTTCATCTGCTTTCTCTGGTTTCAGTATACCTTACAATACCGAAATACTGCCCACCTTACTACAGATGTCTCATGGTTATGTATATCTGTGTGGAGGTATTAGCACAAAGGAAAGCAGGAAAGGAGGTTAGTAGGAATAGGTTCCTGGTCATTTAACATTACAACAGCAATGGAGAAAGAGTTGTGTATGAGACGAGGACGGTGTCTTTAGATGCAGAAGCAGAACAGGATGAATAATCACTGAAGCAATTGCCGTTTCTTTGGCATATTATATTACATTGCATATCTTATCTAGCCAAGGTGTAACTAATTGTCACTCATACTACACTAGTTTCATTCATTCATTTTTAGGGCCCGAGCACGACCGTGTGAGGTCCCTGAGGAATTAGGGCCCGAGCACGACCGTGCGAGGTCCCTATTGAATTTGCTCGGATTTTTTTTTTTTTTTTTTTATTAGGGCCCGAGCACGACCGTGCGAGGTCCCTATTGAATTTGCTCGGATTATATATATATATATATATATATATATATTTTTTTTTTCTGCAAAGTAGGCCCAAATGACATGGCCTAAACATACTCGAAAACTCACCAAAATTTGCAAACATGTCAGAACCGGTGAAAAATTTCGTATTCTACAAGTTTCGCACATGGGCGTGGCAAAATGACTCGCTAGCGCCACCTAGAAAATTGGAAATGATTAGCCCCTCGTTCACGTTCAACCTACATGTACGAAATTTTCTGGGGACATGTATCGTATCAAGACGCACAAAAAAGCCTCAAGAACCCATAGCCGAAAGTCAACAGGAAGTCGGCCATTTTGAATTTTATGGCCATTTTTGGATGATTTACATTACATTATTTTTAACGAACTCCTCCTAGGGATTTAGTCGGATCGACGTCAAATTTCTGCTGTGCCTTCTAAAGGCATTGACGATGAAAAGTTGTGCTATTTGCGAGTTTTCGTCAATGGGCGTGTCCGTGGCGTCGATGATTCGCAATGAAACAGGAAGTTGTTGTAACTTCAGTGTACATGCTCACATCTGGACCAAACTGTACATGTAGGATGAGAGTCCCGCCCTGAACACATGTACATGCTGACATTCACCCACAGTCATAGCGCCACCTGCTGGCAACAGGAAGTGACTTTTAACGAAGCAGCCCCCGCCGCACGTTTCACCTACGTGCACGAATTTTCTGTGGTACGTGTATCTTGTCCAGACGCACAAAAAAGCCTCTTGGAGCGATGCCCTAAAATCAACAGGAAGTCGGCCATTTTGAATTTTACGTCAAATTTTGGATGATTTACACACTTCGTACTTTAACGAACTCCTCCTAGGGATTTAGTCCGACCGACTTCAAATTTGTGCTGTGCCTTCTAAAGGCATTGAAGATGAAAAGTTGTGCTATTTGCGAGTTTTCGTCAATGGCCGTATCCGTGGCGTGGCGTCAAAGATCAACTCTTCGCCACGACACAGGAAGTTGTTGTAACTTCAGTGTACATGCTCACATCTGCACCAAACTTTACGTGCTTGATAACTCTCCCACCCCGCTATGGAGGACCGATCCTGACACAGTCAGAAATAAATACAGAAATAAATAAGTGCTCAATAAATAAATAAGCATCCAATTAAATACACAAAAAATAAAGTAAATAAATAATGTAGGTAGTAATTAAATTATACAAGGAGACATAAATGTATATATTTTAATTAGTGCCTTTACTTATTCACCTTTGTTATAATTACCTTATTTATTTATTCTCCGTTATAATCTTCAACTTTATTTATTACTAATTTTTTTAATATATTTATTTATGTGTGTGTTTTAATATTTTTGTCTGTTTTATTCTTCCTTTGTATTTTTCTACCTTATTTATTTTCACCCATGGTATTTATTTCTGCCTGTCCTTTTTAAATTTCTGTCTCATTATGCAAATGAGGAGGGGCTGTGTCTCAAGGGGTCATCTTCTCTGCTATTGGTGGACCAGTCAGACAGGAGAGCTCTAGGCCTACTATGCCTGCAGACATCAACGATCTTGCCCCTCACACAGTCAGATGGCTTCCTTCAGTGCGCTGAGGTGTTTAACAACTCTGAAGACAATACTACCAGCAATGTCTTCCTTCTCTTTTCACGTAGACGCTCCGACAGACAGTGCTTTCAGTTTGCTGCATGCATGGACACAGAACTGCGGTATAGGGAGAAGCACACGGTCAGCTAGCTGCAGCTAAATCTGGAGTGCACTCGTATTCAATTCTGTATGGTAAATTCAGTTTTAACGGAACAGAGCGAGCTGACAGGCAGAGTTAGAGACTTTTTCTGTCCGTTTCTCTCTTTACAAAGACGCATGTTGCAGTCAGAGTCTTCTCTGAGATGCGATGCGAGCACGACATACAACACAATTTATCAAATTACACAACGGATATACAGTATGAAAATAAGATTGATTGGATTATACTCACAGGAAGTATAAAACCTGTTACATGCGTCTATTAAATGTAAAGTAACACAAAAATGTCAGGGAAATTACTTTACTTAGATTTAAGTACTGCAGTTGTACATTTGAAATACCTTCCTACCTTTCTGATAGGAAGCCTTCTTGAGGTGGTATAAAACATTTCTTCTTATATTCTGATTTGAGTTGTGGACAACTATGACCACATGAATTAAAAAAGTTAAACATTTCACTGCCCAAGTCAGCTATAACACAAGTCTTGTTCATTAGACTACATGCTGTACAGTATTTGTGGACAGATTTTGTCCCAGGATTTATTATGCATTTCTTCTTCTTCGTTGCATGATTTAGAATAATAAGGTGAGAAATGGGTCTATTCTGAGTTCATCCTGCACTGCAGCAGCTAATAAAGTCCATTTAATCCCAAAACGCTTTTCTTTTAGGCAGGCTGGAGCAGAAAACAACTCACCTTTTTCAAGTTGTACAGTAATGTCACATGTGTATGAAGGTGGATCAAACAAGCTAATCTTAAATGTCAAAGTAGAGAGGAGCCTAGTAGGCCTATTTATTTTCATTCATTACACAATATGAATAAGCTATGCAGACAGTTGTAAAGAAAGAACATCTTTTTCTTCTGTTCTCTACTTGTTATAGTTACACAGTATTAGGGGTGTGGGCTGTATTAAAAGTATCCACTGTTCTCCCATGCTCTAACACACAGTAACGATGAAATGTGTGCTGTTCTCACATTCTTCCTCTGTATGTACACATAAACAACAAGGCAGGGAAATATAAAAGGAATTTATTTTATTGTTTGGGTACATTATTGTTCAGTGTACATGCTCACATCTGAAACAAACTTTACGTGCTTGATAACTCTCCCACCCCGCAGACATCTACACGTCAATACCAATTTATATTCATAGCGGCAAGTGCTATGTAGCTCCACATAGGGGACACAGGAAGTGACATATAACACCTTCATGCGGCGACCTAACCGCATAGCAAATTCACAGCCGCACCGGCAGAGCTCCAGAATGTGCAACTCGGCCGGCTCACACGCGGACGCGCTTACAAGTGCGAGGGCCTGCCCAACGCTGCTTGCAGCTTTAATTATTCTATTTATTTTGTATTTTTTGTTTCATAGCGTAAGAGTTCTTAATGCGGTGAATATTGTTTGTTTATTTTATTAGAGAAAAACACACCTCAAAAAGCTATTGTGTAATTACCTATAAATGAGAATGTTATGTTTTATTAAATTCAGGTAACTTGCTAATTATTTTCTCGGGTAAAAAATTCATACTCATTTTCCATTATATGGCAGTGAAGTTGGCATTAAATTTGATCCTAGGTGGCATTAAAAAGGTTTTAAAGTCTTAACTTTAACTTGGAGAATCCTGGGGCTACCCTCATTAAAGTTATTGCCAGCCAGGACTTTGGTCCATATCTCCCAGCCCTAGTTACTCCTAGTTGATATATACTGGATGTAAAGACAATAATATGATGTTGAGAAGAACATGTTTCGGGAGACTTTATAGTTTGTCTGACACAGTTATGTCCTTCTTCCGTGTCTGCTGTTTTGGCTTCCTATGTGTTGACTTCAGAGAGGATTTCAGCTTCACCCCATACACCACCTACTTCTACATGAAGCTGGGCTGCAAAGCGCCTCTGCTGAAGAACCAGACTCACAAACTCAGCATGAAGATGAGGCCAACAGTGACTGGATCTGCTGTGGTGAGTAAATGCTGCCCACAATAATATATCACAAAACAGTTTCAACAAATGTTCCACTGCATCTAGTATAGTATCTCACAAAAGTGAGTAAACCCCTCACATTTTTGTAAATATTTATCTATTATATCTTTTCATGTGACAACACTGAAGAAATTACACTTTGCTACAATGTAAAGTAGTGAGTGTACAGCTTGTATAACAGTGTAAATTTGTTGTCCCCTCAAAATAACACATCACACAGCCATTAATATCTAAATGTGAAAATGTCTGAGTTGGGCCCAATTAGCCATTTTTCCTCCCTTGTATCATGTGACTCATTAGTGTTAAAACATCTCAGGTGTGAATGACGAGCAGGTGTGTTAAATTTGGTGTTATCACTCTCACAGTCCCTCATACTGGTCACTGGAAGTTCAACTGGCACCTCCATGACAAAGAACTCTGAGGATCTGAAAAAAAAGAATTGTTGCTCTACATAAAGATGGCCTAGGCTATGAGAAGTTTGCCAAGACCCTGAAACTGAGCTGCAGCACGGTGGCCAAGACCATACAGCAGTTCAACAGGACAGGTTCCTCTCAGAACGGGCCTCGCCATGGTCAACCAAAGAAGTTGAGTGCACATGCTCAGTGTCATATCCAGAGGTTGTCTTTGGGAAATAGACGTATGAGTGCTACCAGCATTGCTGCCGAGGTTGAAGGGGAGGGGTGTCAGCCTGTCAGTGCTCAGACCATACGCTGCACACTGCATCAAGTTGGTCTGCGTGGCTGTCGTCTCAGAAGGAAGACTCGTCTAAAGATGATGCACAAGAAAACCTGCAAACGGTTTGCTGAAGACAAGCAGACTAAGGACATGTATTATTGGAACCATGTCCTGTGGTCTGGTGAGACCAAGATAAACTTATTTGGTTCAGATGGTGTCAAGCGTGTGTGGCAGCAACCAGGTGAGGAGTACAAAGACTACAGGGCAGTATTCCAACATGATAACGACCCCAAACACACCTCAAGACGACCGCTGCCTTTTCTAAAGAAGCTGAGTGTAAAGGTGATGGACTGGCCAACATGTCTCCAGACCTAAACCCTATTGAGCATCTGTGGGGCGTCCTCAAATGGAAGGTGGAGGAGCGCAAGGTCTCTAACCTCCATCCACGCTGTGATTTCGTCATGGAGGAGTGGAAGGGGACTCCAGTGGCAACCTGTGAAGCTCTGAACTCCAAGCCCAAGAGGGTTAAGGCAGTGCTGGAAAATAATAGTGGCCACACACAATATTGACACTTTGGGCCCAATTTTCACTTAGGGGTGTACTCCTTTTTTGTTGCCAGTGGTTTACACATAAATAGCTGTGTGATGTGTGTTTTTTGTGGGAATGGCAAATTTACACTGTTCTACAAGCTGTACACTCACTACTTTACATTGTAGCAAAGGGTCATTTCTTCAGTGTTGTCACATAAAAAGATTGAATCAAATTTTTACAAAAATGTGAGTGGTGTACTCAGTTTCGTGAGATACTGTATATGTATCATACATATGTACTGTCTGCTCTAATTAAGGAGGGTTTTTAATTAATTTTTTGTTAAAATTAAATCAGAATATATTGAAATTTCTCTCATTCAACTATTGCCAGCCAAGTTAGTTTGCCAAACCTCCAGTACTAACATGTCCTCATGTTCTTGAAACAATTCTAAGTGGTATGACTAAGTTTTTAAAAAGTTTCTCTTTGGTTAGGGTTGGGTAATGTGAAGAACAAGTGAGCATAAGATGTTGGTCAAATGGTGTTATTCACAGTATCTACTTAGAAGTATAGAAAATCAACAGTTGAATTTTTTGGGTGTAGGGTTGGGGTAAGAGATCCAGTTCCAATTTTTTATTCACCAAGCATCTCAGTGATACTGAGAGTTACACTGACTTTCAGCAAGGAGAAGCACAACTCCCATGTGAGAGTGTAATGCTACTTTTACTTAACACTCAGCTGCAAAGCAGACATTATGAAGAGATGTTGTAGTTTTCTGACAGCTGCAGTTTGAAATGAAATGATATTGGCCACCATATATTGTAAAAAATATTTATCTGTAATGAGCAAATAATGGGCAAATAAACATATTGTGGCTATAGTAAATGTTGAGAGAGCTCTTCTTGATAATTGTTTCTGTATCTCCTGTTTGTGTATTGATGTTTTTATTTTTTTGTTTTGTTTTTCTTCAGATTCTCTCTATTTGTGAAGCCTCTAACCAGTTTCTTCGTCCTCCAATGTGTGGCTAATATCTTTCCTCCATGTCATTTTAAAAATGTTCTCACACATTTTCCTAATTGTTTCCAAAGATCCATAGAGATAAGTCTGTCACATCACTGCCACACAGCTGCTCATAGTGATCATTAGTACCCTAACATGATTACACTGATTCAATAGGCTAGTTGTAGACTGTTTTGTCGCTTGCTACTGCGATTGGCACAGCTGTTTAAAAGGTATGAGACCAAACAGCCATTGCATGCGCACAACGCTGAGCATTTAGTAATAGCAGGAACCCTTAAATATATAGTTATATCATGATATACAAAGAGTGATGCTTATGAGTAAAGAAATGACCAGCCAGTTAAGTTGACAAAAATTAATAGTTTAAACATCATATTTAAATTCTGTACTTTGAACTGCTTCTCATGGTCTTCATCAGCAAATTGAAGTTGGCTCAGTTGAAATGGATTTGGCATGTTTGTTTGGACATGGAGAGCTGTGGGCCTTGAGTTACAATTATTTTTAAGTTTAAGTAGATATATTAACATTAAAGTAATTTATCAAAGGTAAAATACCAAACATTAGCTGGTTCCAGCTAAAGATTTTCTCTATTATTCTATTATTGTAAATTGAATAATTGGGACATTTAAGCTGCTGTTCAGTAGTTAAGCACTAATGATGCACATCTATAAAACTTTTTATAGAATCAATAATCATTCAATTTGCTGTCATGAACCTGATAGATAAATTCAACAGTTATGCAAATAATTGTTTGTTTCCTAGCGTTGCATGCAGGCTAGTAGCGCAGGTCCATGGGAAGGTAAACGGAGTCTTTTCCATCAGCTCAGATCCTGAAACCGTTCTGTGTAGATCTAGAAAGATTGAGCAAGGAATCTGAAAAATGATGTGAGCTGAGTCCAGACCCTCTGGGATCCACAGCCTGGGCCGTTGTGATGATGAATGGGGGGATTCTGTTTATGTCCATTTCTAGATTTGAGTTTCCCATGTCCTCCCCTCTAGTGTCCCCTCGTCCACTTCATGTAGGTCTTTGAACCCTCTCAGGTGAAGACTGTTGTTAATGACCTACAGGTAAAAGCTGTGAGTGGCCAGGGCAAAGCCAAAGGGGGAAAGAGATCAGTTCAAAGCGGTGGAGAGGCCCCTGTGTCCAAGAAAGTCAAGACAGACCTCCCCTAACCTCCCACCCTGTCCAGAAGACAAGCTGAGAAAGTACAGTCCATCATTCTTTATTCTGTTTACTACTGCTTCTGTTGGCATGGCACTGTCCACACTTTTCCTTCATGCTTCACATTTGGATCAGAGTACTGGAGGATAACTACACATAGACAGCCTGTTGTTTAATTTTAAATGCTTTTAAAAGTTGTACAATAACAAGCATGATATCATCTTATTGTTCCTAACCATCAGGCTGGGCGATAAAAGGACATTATTGGCACCACAACCTCTTTTTGCTGTTCTGTATGGGTTCATTTGATAGGGTGAAATCTTACTGGTGACACTGATTGAAAGAAAGTATAAAGTCATCTAATCTGCTAATGGACACAAGGTGGTGTACACTAGCTAGCTAGTGTGTTGTGTGTTGCTGCTATAATTATTGCTGTGGTGTTTTTTTTAAGATGCACAACTTGATGAAATGTGCAGGTGTTCGTGATCACTTAAACTTGAATACGTTGTGTTGCTCTGTAGACATAGGAAACCAATAGATCTAGAAGCCTTTATCTTCAGAAGCCCAGTTTTGTTTAGAACAGTTCCTGAGTATTCCATTTGCTCATAGCATGCTAGTCACCAATAGTCAACACCAGTACTTCTGCCTAGGCCTGCACTATAATAGGAAAATCTGCCATGTGTGATAACATTGTTCAAAATTGCAATGATGATATGACTTGCAATAAACAAATATTGAAGTGTGCATATTAGCTGCCTGGTTGTCTTTAAATTCAGAACAGGATTAGAATGAAATCTTTTAAATACAACTAAATGTTTCTATAGCAGCAACAGTAACATTTACAACAACAAAGTCACTATATAAACTCAATAATATCTCACTGGAAACAAATCTAAAGTGTCAGTACAGTAAATCATATTCCTGACATAAAAATACTGAGTGACGTTTAGAAAGAATGGAAAAACTCAAACATCAGTCCTATCAGTCCTTCCAACTGTCCTGAAAATACGATCTATCAGTCTGCAATTTGTGCTGCCTATTTTTAGAATAGATTCACAGTCTTATGATTACAAATGTACACTTAACATTAGAGCTGTATATGTAGCTAAACTTAAAATGTGATTCAGCAGGATGGCTTTCCTTATCTAGCCTTTACATTCTTCTTTGAAGATGTAGAAAGTAGGGCTGTCACTTTTTCAAAAAATGTGTTTACAGCGAACAAGTGACACATACTTTGGTCGAATTAATGCAAAAGCAACCTAAGTCGTCCAATCCTAAAATTAAATTGTGAAATTGAATGTTCTTTTCATTCGTTGGGTCTCTGTTGCCTCACATAATTACCTTTTTACAAAGTCAGCAAACTGACTTAACTTTTTCCACAGATATTTCATCTACTGTTTCAAATTTAAAATTCTCCCACTCATTACTTCTCATACTGCCTTGTGTCATGACTACAGCATGGCTTGCCAATTTTCTTTTTATGTTTGCATTCATAAAGAAGATAATAGACTAACAGGGACAGGACATGCAGTGAGTCAGACGGACTTGTGAATTTTTAGGAGAACAGCCTTGTAGTCATGCACTGTGAATTTTAAATTGTAACAGATTATTACAAATCAACATATTTAATTTATTTTCACGTGTTAAGAGTAGTTTGAACTTTGAATTAACAATGACAGCCTTAATATGAACCATTGTTCATGGTGAAACACTTAAGAGTTTTTCAAAAATTAATAAAGTTCAAATAAATTAAAACTATCTGTGCAATTTGTTCACATTAATTGGAACAAAAAAACATGCAGCCTAATCCTAAACTACGCTGTAGTTTGATGTTCAGTTCCTCTGCTGTGTAACCAAGTCAAACAGTGGACTCTATTTCAGTGTTGTGGTAATGTTACTGCAGTTTTAAAAAGTCAGCAAACAACTTTGCCTTAATCCACAATTTTTCCACATAGTTTGGTGTTATGATGATTAGTTCATGGCTCATTAGTTTCTTCCATCGTGTGTTAACACATTAAGAGAATAGCCTAGTTTACCGATAGGAATGGGTCATTCATGACATCAGAGTGGCAAGACAGTTACGAATAGTGAAGGGCATGGCCTGTTTCACTTGTATACAAAATTTTGAATATGGACAAATTAATAAATATTAAATAGTTAAAATATTTGTTATGGAATTTAATTGAAGCCCTGTGACACACTAGGCACGTGTTGGGACATAACTGACTGACAGTACTGACAGTTGTAATGTTTGAGAATCACCTAAGTCTGTTACTCATGATCTCCAGCATCATTGTCCATATTCAGGAGCAAGCTGCCACTAACTGTGACTAACATTTCATCACACTGTCTCTGCTAACACGGTTGATTTTTGTTTTTTTCTTTTGTTTTTTTCCTCACTGACTACACAGAGAAGTAGGCTAAACATATCTTAGTTGCATATTATTCTAAAAGTTCAGCAAGTAGTGAATATTATGCTTTCTACTATTGTTCTCTCACACTAGTTTTCATGGTTACAGGACACATTGGCCAGTAAGGAGGAGAATGATATGAGCTTTGACCCCATTGTCATAGACAACAGCTGTCCCCCACATCCCAAAAAGAAACAATTTAAAGAACAGAGGAACATGTCAAGGAAACAAGACCTGAAGCCAGTCAGAGAGACAGACAAACGGACAGAGAGACCAAAAAAACAGCTGACATACAGACATGGAGAGGAAGAGGAAGACAAGAGGACATTCATCATGCCTCAGCATGTTATTGAGGCTGATGTTGAAATTAACATTATAGATAACATTGATGGTCAGAAAACTCCATCACATCCAAATAAACCTCGTTCCAAACGCAAATCCACCACCCCTCAGAGAGTGAGGAGGAACCCCCATGCTAAAATGGCAGCAGCAGAAGTTCCTTCTCCATCCCCAGGTGGTGACACAGCCACTAACACTGTGCCCAGCTCTCCTTCCCAGGCCTCCATCATCTCTGAGACTGCAGCTGAGGAGCTCTGCGACCTGAGGAACTACTACAGCAAACAACTGAAGAGAATAAACTACATTTCCCATGAATACCTGGGGCAGCCTGCAGATCCAGGAGTGCTAGCGTGTATTAGGGAACCTCTGAGGAGCCTTCGTCTGCCCCACAGGGTAACCATCGCCCAAACAGCCCGTAGCCTGTGGACACGAGTCAGCGGCAGAAGGAAGCTGGTTCACCGGTGACATCACAGTTTGAAGTTCATTCAGCTGCAGTTCGATTTAGTCTTCATGGATGTACTATCAAGAAATGTTTACAGCTACTGTTATAATGTAATCACAAATGTTATATCTTCTGTCACAGATTAAAAAGCCAAAAAACACAGTGAACTTAATTTGTTAGTTTTTTCTACTATTACAGTTTTTTACAACTGCTTACACACAAGATCTGTCACACGATTTTTGAAACCTCTCACTCAAACAGCAAAACTAGACACTGAGACACAAAAATCTAACAGCAAGTGACTTCCTTTCCTTATCCAAACACAACCAATCAAAATGTTAGATTTATTTAGCAGGGGCGAGTTCAGTGCTGACAAAATGTTATTCAACGGAAACATGTTGTATAGGCCTATAAATAGGTCAAAGGTCAGATTACCTGTTTTGAAAAATGGATGCCAACAATGGACAGACAGCAAGGGGAGTAGAAGGGAGCAGCAGGGGAAGACTACATATACCGTATATTACTGGATGAAGCCACCCCGCGGGTTTGAATGGAGAGCAGTGAAGCTAGTTTTGGTCCTATGAAATACTACTACAGGGCTACTTCCTGTTGGCACCAGTGTCTACCGCGCATGATCGTACAACTTAAGCATGGTTCAATAACTTAGAGCAGCGGCAGAAACACTGTAATCCTGGTAGCTGCATAGACCGTACTCCTTGTAAGTGATCCGATAAGATTTACATTTACATGCCCCAAAGCATTTATCAGAATATACATTTTTTGACAAATGCGAAAAAGTGGCTTCACCCGCTGTGACACCACACCACACATTGTTTCTGCCTGAAACAACGGATGAAGAAGAGAGAATATGCTTTCTGCAGGCTGCATTCACATGGATTCAGGCAGACGGCAATCCGGAGAGCAGGACTGTAAAATTAGCTGGCAAATACTAGCAACAGTAATGGTCCAAAGTTAACCAGATGTAACCTAGCTTGCTTAAACACGGAGAAAATGTGAGACCTGGCCAACGCTAATAATTTTGTTGCACCTGGAATTATGTGATGAAACGGGTGTTAATTTGTTTAAAAGTAGCTTTTATCTGTTTTGGCAAATAAACTCATAAATATTAAGAACTTTGTAACATTTTACATAATGGTATCCATTTCATATCGTTTCTTACTTCTGTCATCTGAGTCACAGTTTCTCATATCTCCAGTTTATGGGTCAGCGTAACCGTGGAGGACTGCACATTCTCTAGTCAAGTTTGTGTTCATCTACTGCCCAGATTTGTACTAGTCATTTCAACACCGAATTACGTGAAAATAGGGCCCAGGTTTAAAAAATACCTGAATTATCCTTTAACGTTAACACAGTTTCTCTTGACTGTCCCTCAATATTACAAATTTCAACACTGCTCCAGTCAGAGTGTGCGCCTACAATACACGCTAGCCACATTAGCTGTGGAACGTGCCAAGTTCAACAGGCTACCATGCAAAATAGAGTAAAGCATGGCAGAACTTACAGGTTCCAAGTTTGAAGTCTGTATTTAGGGCCCAAGCACGACCGTGTGAAGTCCCTATTGAATTTGCTAAGATTATATATATATATATATATATATATATATTCGCACAACCGTGCGAATTCCCTATTGAATTTGCTAAGATTATATATATATATATATATATATATATATATATATATTCGCACAACCGTGCGAATTCCCTATTGAATTTGCTAAGATTATATTTAGGGCCCGAGCACGACCGTGCGAGGTCCCTATTAAATTTGCTCGGATTATTAGGGCCCGAGCACGACCGTGCGAGGTCCCTATTGAATTTGCTCGGATTATATTTAGGGCCCGAGCACGACCGTGCGAGGTCCCTATTGAATTTGCTCGGATTATATATTTAGGGCCCGAGCACGACCGTGCGAGGTCCCTATTGAATTTGCTCGGATTTTTTTTTAGGGCCCGAGCACGACCGTGTGAGGTCCCTATTGAATTTGCTCGGATTATATTTAGGGCCCGAGCACGACCGTGTGAGGTCCCTATTGAATTTGCTCGGATTATATATTTAGGGCCCGAGCACGACCGTGTGAGGTCCCTATTGAATTTGCTCGGATTATTAGGGCCCGAGCACGACCGTGCGAGGTCCCTATTGAATTTGCTCGGATTATATATATTTAGGGCCCGAGCACGACCGTGTGAGGTCCCTATTGAATTTGCTCGGATTTTTTTTTTTTTTTTTTTTCTGCAAAGTAGGCTCAAATGACATGGCCTAAACATTCTCGAAAACTCACCAAAATTTGCAAACGTGTCAGAACCGGTGAAAAATTTCGTATTCTACAAGTTTCGCACATGGGCGTTGCAAAATGACTCGCTAGCGCCACCTAGAAAATTGGAAAAGATTAGCCCCTCGTTCACGTTCAACCTACATGTACGAAATTTTCTGGGGACATGTATCGTATCAAGACGCACAAAAAAGCCTCAAGAACCCATAGCCTAAAGTCAACAGGAAGTCGGCCATTTTGAATTTTACGGCCATTTTTGGATGATTTACACACTTCGTACTTTAACGAACTCCTCCTAGGGATTTAGTCGGATCGACGTCAAATTTCTGCTGTGCCTTCTAAAGGCATTGACGATGAAAAGTTGTGCTATTTGCGCGTTTTCGTCAATGGGCGTGTCCGTGGCGTCGATGACTCGCTATGAAACAGGAAGTTGTTGTAACTTCAGTGTACATGCTCACATCTGCACCAAACTGTACATCTAGGATGAGAGTCCCGCCCTGAACACATGTACATGCCGACATTCACCCACAGTCATAGCGCCACCTGCTGGCAACAGAAAGTGACCTTTAACGAAGCAGCCCCCGCCGCATGTTTCACCTACGTGCACGAATTTTCTGTGGTACGTGTATCTTGTCCAGACGCACAAAAAAGTCTCTTGGAGCCATAGGCTAAACCCAACAGGAAGTCGGCCATTTTGAATTTTACGTCAAATTTTGGATGATTTACACACTTCGTACTTTAAAGAACTCCTCCTAGGGATTTAGTCTGACCGACCTCAAATTTCTGCTGTGCCTGCTAAAGGCATTGAAGATGAAAAGTTGTGCTATTTGCAAGTTTTCGTCAATGGGCGTGTCCGTGGCGTGGCGTCAAAGATCAACTCTTCGCCATGACACGGAAGTTGTCGTATCTTCAGTGTACATGCTCACATCTGCACCAAACTGTACATGTAGGATGAGAGTCTTGCCCTGAACACATGTACATGCTGACATTCACCCACAGTCATAGCGCCACCTGCTGGCAACAGGAAGTGACTTTTAATGAAGCAGCCCCCGCCGCACGTTTCACCTACGTGCACGAATTTTCTGTGGTACGTGTATCTTGTCCAGACGCACAAAAAAGTCTCTTGGAGCGATGCCCTAAAATCAACAGGAAGTCGGCCATTTTGAATTTTACGTCAAATTTTGGATGATTTACACACTTCGTACTTTAACGAACTCCTCCTAGGGATTTAGTCCGACCGACTTCAAATTTGTGCTGTGCCTTCTAAAGGCATTGAAGATGAAAAGTTGTGCTATTTGCAAGTTTTCGTCAATGGGCGTGTCCGTGGCGTGGCGTCAAAGATCAACTCTTCGCCATGACACGGAAGTTGTCGTAGCTTCAGTGTACATGCTCACATCTGCACCAAACTGTACATGTAGGATGAGAGTCCCGCCCTGAACACATGTACATGCTGACATTCACCCACAGTCATAGCGCCACCTGCTGGCAACGGGAAGTGACATTTAACGAAGCAGCCCCCGCCGCACGTTTCACCTACGTGCACGAATTTTCTGTGGTACGTGTATCTTGTCCAGACGCACAAAAAAGTCTCTTGGAGCCATAGCCTAAACCCAACAGGAAGTCGGCCATTTTGAATTTTACGTCAAATTTTGGATGATTTACACACTTCGTACTTTAACGAACTCCTCCTAGGGATTTAGTCCGACCGACCTCAAATTTCTGCTGTGCCTTCTAAAGGCATTGAAGATGAAAAGTTGTGCTATTTGCAAGTTTTCGTCAATGGGCGTGTCCGTGGCGTGGCGTCAAAGATCAGCTCTTCGCCATGACACAGGAAGTTGTTGTAACTTCAGTGTACATGCTCACATCTGCACCAAACTGTACATGTAGGATGAGAGTCCCGCCCTGAACACATGTACATGCTGACATTCACCCACAGACATAGCGCCACCTGCTGGCAACAGGAAGTGACTTTTAACGAAGCAGCCCCCGCCGCACGTTTCACCTACGTGCACAAATTTTCTGTGGTACGTGTATCTTGTCCAGACACACAAAAAAGTCTCTTGGAGCCATAGCCTAAACCCAAGAGGAAGTCGGCCATTTTGAATTTTATGTCAAATTTTGGATGATTTACACACTTCGTACTTTAACGAACTCCTCCTAGGGATTTAGTCTGACCGACCTCAAATTTCTGCTGTGCCTTCTAAAGGCATTGAAGATGAAAAGTTGTGCTATTTGCAAGTTTTCGTCAATGGGCGTGTCCGTGGCGTGGCGTCAAAGATCAGCTCTTCGCCATGACACAGGAAGTTGTCGTAACTTCAGTGTACATGCTCACATCTGGACCAAACTGTACATGTAGGATGAGAGTCCCACCCTGAACACATGTACATGCCGACATTCACCCACAGTCATAGCGCCACCTGCTGGCAACAGGAAGTGACTTTTAACGAAGCAGCCCCCGCCGCACGTTTCACCTACGTGCACGAATTTTCTGTGGTACGTGTATCTTGTCCAGACGCACAAAAAAGCCTCTTGGAGCGATGCCCTAAAATCAACAGGAAGTCGGCCATTTTGAATTTTACGTCAAATTTTGGATGATTTACACACTTCGTACTTTAACGAACTCCTCCTAGGGATTTAGTCCGACCGACTTCAAATTTGTGCTGTGCCTTCTAAAGGCATTGAAGATGAAAAGTTGTGCTATTTGCGAGTTTTCGTCAATGGCCGTATCCGTGGCGTGGCGTCAAAGATCAACTCTTCGCCACGACACAGGAAGTTGTTGTAACTTCAGTGTACATGCTCACATCTGCACCAAACTTTACGTGCTTGATAACTCTCCCACCCCGCTATGGAGGACCGATCCTGACACAGTCAGAA